TAACTTAATTAATAGTTAGCACTAATTAATTAGCATATTTGAGGTCACCCCCGGGAACCATTAAGATTGACACTTAGATCGTGAAAATCCGATCATTAGAACAAAAGTTATTCAGGGTGATATCTTTTTTTTTTTGCTGACTGTACATTCACAAGTAAATACGTAATTCATTAATTGCTGTCCATATACATGTCATCGACTTCTTCATATTTGCAATTTTATTCTGAAGAGCCGATGTTCCTGTTGGATACCGAGAAACAATTATCCCCGAGAACGAATCCAGATCTTCCACAACATTTTTTTTCCTTTCGAAGCCCATCTCTTCGATTAGAATCTCTTTCGAAGCATCTTAAAGGTCACCGGAATCAAGAAAAAGAAACGATTACCAAACCAGTTCTTCAGATGATTGGGTAAGTCCAAAATTCAAAGGTTGAAATTTTCTAAAACAATTCCCATTCCGCATGTTTTATAATTCCGAAAATTTTATAATTTAAGCTCCCATGCTTCCTTTAATAACCCTTCCATTGCCTTGCCCATCCCACTAACAATCTGATTTGGTCTCAAGGGGGAAATCCCCTCTTATAGGTAAAAGGACTATAAGATAGAAAAGAAAGAATGTCAGAAAAGCTACAAACAGCTAATAAACAAGTTTATTAAATGAAAATGAAAAAAGAGAAAACTTAGAAAAAGTTTATGGTAGCTATGTTAAGAAAAATGAATTTTGATCTGTTAGGAAAACAAGATTTTCTTAATAAGGGTAACGTAAAATCCAGGATTTAACGTTAGTAATATCAATATAAATATGAAACTTTTTCTAATATTTTTCTCCACATAAATGAATGTTTTCAACTTAAAGATAAAAATGTTTTCCTTGAAATTTTCACATAATTTAAAATAAAAATTTAAGTTCCATAAAAAATAATATTTCACCCAGCTAAAAATTGTAAACTTCCCCAAAATTAAAAAAAAAAGCATGCTAAAAAAACAATAATTGTACGTGATAGTGTGCATTTTGGGTAAGGAATATTTATTGCTAAGTTTAATCTGATAAAGCTAAAAAAATTAATTAAAAATAAATATGTTTTCAATGGTTAATCCACTATCGATGCAGATCCACTGAACTCTATATTTCAACTTGAATATTTTTTTAATGTATCATGTATTTTATATATTGTATTTAAACTATAATGTACTTTTCATCCGAATATTCTAGAAAATTCTTTTTCCGGTGCTCTAATGACAAGAAATCTCTTTTTTCATTAATCTTAATTAAATCCACTAAACTTCTATTAAATTCATTGCACTTTCATTAAATTCATTACGCTTTAAAGACTTAATAAATTTTTCTTTAAGTCATTTTGTATCTTCAGACAATGTTTGCTTGGTAACTTTTTTATATAATATTTCAAATTTTACGTAAGCTATAAAGTATTCCCTAATTAAAGTATTCAAACTGAAAAGTATAACAATTGCTTGGAAAATATTATTTACACGGTGACCAATAAAAACTCATCCACTTTCAAATTTTTATTTCACTAATACAGCATAAACTATGCAAAAACTTTTTGTACTAAATTAAAGTGGCAATTATTAAGTATCTTTTCAATAAATGTTTTGAAATAATATCGCTTTTACAGCTACTTTCTTTACAAACTCCTCTCTATTGCCTCCTCGGGCTTGTCAACAGTAGATATTGGCAATATTCTATAATTTTGCTGGTTTAGACTTCGCGGTAAAACAAATAGTTTCTAATCTGAAAAGACAAACCTCATCCACAGCTTGCCGTGCAAGGATTTCTTCCATCCTCTGCTTCCTTTTCATCTTTACTGAAGAAATTATGAGTAGTACAAAATATAAACTTACAATAGCTTATATTTACCTAAAACTAAATTGTCTGGAAGTAATTGGGATTGCAATACCACTTATATAATTTTTTAACGTGCTTCAAAAGCTGTCTGACAACTTTATGAGTTGTATGAGACCATGACGTATATACGAAAAAAAAAAAAGAGAAGAAGAAGAAAAAAAGAAATAACTGTAGCTAATGACATTACTTTTAAAACATATATAATGGCCTCTGCTACACAAAATGAATGTTTTTCAAATGTTCTTTATTTGTTTTAAATAATAACATAAAAAAGTTAAGTTCAGAGTATAAAAACTCTTTGGTTAATATCTTTAGAAATTCCAATATATGATGTAATGCACACCTCAAGATAAATCTTTTGAGGGTTTGATTGATCATATTTTTAGAGGGACAATAAATATTCCATCGGTATCTGCTTTTCCGCTTATTTATAAGTTCAAGGTGTGTACTAGATTATAGTACGTTAAAAGGGACGCGCCTAAGTCTTGAGTTTGCTAACATGTGTTCTCTGTCTATACTTTTCTCTAATGCGGTCAATGCAAAAAGGAAAGAGAATGGTATATTTTGGCTACTATTCGCCATGCCCAACAATAATCTTCTGCTTTGTCGAAAGTCACGTTTTGTTATCCGCACCTTTCGTTTGTTCGACTATTCGATGTCATTTTAGAATTGGAACTCTTTTTTTCGAGGAATAGTTTGTAAATCGGATTTTATAATTAAGGTTTTTCTTATGTAAAGTGTATGATTTATTTTTTAATCAAATATAAGTAATTTGTTACAGTTTTTAGTAATCATTTGAGTTCTAAAACATTAATATGTAAACTGCTGTAAGCGAATAGAACAATTATTAAAAACGTAAAGTCTTCATGACCAGTTAAAAACATTGAGAGTACCTAACATATTTAATTATTATAAATAAGATTATCTATGATTATAAAGGTGAAGACATAAGTTATAGCTATTTTATACATTTTGTCTGATAAATTTTAATTTCCTGTTCTTAAATTAACACTGTGTAATTATTTAAATATTAACTAGCTTTATATTTAAATAATAAGTTTA